TTTTGTCCTGTAATATTCTTTTGTGAATTCATCGCAATTTGTCAATACAACTTTCCTACCGAAAACGTTTAGAGAAACTCCGATGGCCAAATCGTTATCCCTGATATTAAAAAAAAAAAAAAAACAAATTAAAATGAAAATCGAGGGGAAAATTAAAAGAAAATTATTATTATTAATTAATCACTTATAATAACTGGAAACACGTCCTGTAGGACTTATTGGATCAATTATATATCTTCCTTTAAGAAAACCAGTTGGCCAAATATTTAAAACAGTTGAAGGAGTTTCTTCTCCCGGAAATGGTAATTTTTCATATGTCTTTGGCAACAATGTTTTTCTTAAGAAAATGCTTCCAGAATCTATACCGGAATTTGTCGGAATGATTTCGTTTATTTCAATGGTATCATCACATAAAAAATATTTTATTTCTAATTTATGAATGTATCCATATAATGAAAACCTTAAAAAAAATAAATTACAATTAAATTTTTTTAATTTAAAAATAAATGAAACAAATTGTGTTGTAAATATGTCAATACCTGTCATCCCAGTACCCGAAAAACCTTAATATTTTTTTATCGTATTCCAAATATTTTCCCAAAGGAAGGGGCGTACTCCTCGGTTTTTTACCCAAATTGAAACCCTTATTCTGATGGAAAAAAAATAAATTTTTTTTTTTTAAAATATTTTTGATACTCGTTTAAAAAAAAAAAAAAATAATAATAATAATTGTGATGAATTTACTTTTTTCTCTTCGTTTTTAGAATAACCAGGAGGATAATTAAGAGGATCCCCAACGAATATTCCCATCCTATTGAGAAAATTTCTCGTAAATTTATCACAATTGACTATTCTAAAAACTCTTCCATATAATTCAACATTTTTCCCTATATTAAAATCAATCATGTCGTAAAATCCCTGATCCATAGGTTTGGGAAATCTTATTCTTTGTCTTGCTATTAAAACTCCTAAAAAAAAAAATCAATAATAATAATAATAATTGAAACAGAATTTTTAAACCTTTTTTAAGGTATCAATTTATTTTTTTAATAAATTATAAAAAATAAATTAAAAACAACCTTGTGTCATTCCGCTATTATCGACTTTTGGTTCATTTACTTGAATTGTACCATCTTCAAGAAAATAATAAATTTTAACTTTTCTAACGTTTAATGGACATTTATCAACTTCCCAAACAGTTTCTTGAAAATATGCATCGAAAGTTAAAATCTGAAAACAATAATTTACTCTCATTTTAAAAACAAAAATCAAATTTTTTTTTTTTTAATTCTTGTTTATTATAAACGGAATCGTTTACTTGCTTATCAAAAGATAACCATCCCGGTAATTCTTTACATTCTCTTCTGGGATAAATTGATGGAGTGGTATCCGGTGTGGTCCATGATATAGGATATCCTCCAAATCCAGGTCTGTCAGCTTCACTCAAATAAGGTATACATCCTCGAATGTATTCAAATTGAGTAGATCTATGAAAACGGGTTTGACCAATCTGAAATCGTCATCATATAAATATATATAAGTGAGTAAAATGTATATATATTAAATAATAATAATAATAATAATGATATGACAACCTCACGCGTAAAAGAATATCCAGGTAAAAAAGGAAGTTTGGCTGATCTTATCATGTTTGGTCAATGCACAAAAAAAAAAAATCTTTTATTTTAAATTATAAAATTAATAAAAAAATCAACTTAATAATATGTTTGATGATATACGTCACTGATTTTATAACATTTTCCTTTCTAAATTATTTTTAATTAAATAAAAAAAAAAAAAGAAATTAAAGAGTTTAGAAAATTAAATCGATGTGGAAATTCATACTGTCTTCAATATAAATAATATACATTATTATTATTATTATTTATATTTAATGACGGGGATTTAAAATCGTTAGTTACCTAGGTTACTGTTATATATATAATAGTAAAAAAAAAAAAAAAAAAAAAAATGGAAGAAGTTAAATATCATTTTACTCATTTAAGTTCAAAAAATTTCAACACTTTAAACTCAAAACCTGTTATTGATTATTTAATTAAATGGTAATTAATTATTAATTAATTAGAAAAAAAACCAATATATTTTTTTTTTACGTTATTAATTTTCAATTGATTTAAGTAATTCAAACATAATATATTATTTTAAATTATTATTTCAGGTCGATAAAGGGACAATTTCAACTTTCGACATTTTGTTTTAACGAACCTTATCAACCTCACGATAAACAAAAACTAATTGATAATTTTTTTCGCGATTCTTTCGTTATAAATATATTAAACGAATTAAAACCGAGTTGGTTTTTTCATAAGGAAGATATTGATCATGTTTATACTGAAATTGTACCATGTACAATATCCTCCATGACATTTTTTGATAGAATTCTAAAAGAAGAAAATAAAATTATTAGAATTGATGGCGTCATTCGAAATTGTTTAGACGATTATAAAAATGGATTTTTAATAGCCGATGAATTGAGAAAAGTTTGTTAAAAATCTCCTACAGGATTTCTTGATAATTTTCTGAAACGAAATTTTTTACATTAAATATAAAAAAAAAAAAAAAAATTTTATTTTTCAGATGATTTTAGACGAGGAAAGCGATAATTATTCATTATACCTGGAAAATGATAGAAATGAATTAATATTTAGAATATTTAAATTTTTAATTTTGGGAGGACAATGGTGTCAATTTGAAGATAAAATTAATCCTTATTTAGATGTAACTAAAATATTATATAAGGATTTGGTTCAGTAAGTTTATTATTATTATTATTATTATTATATAAAATTATGTTTTGCATTTGGAATATTTGTTTTTTATCACGTAGAAATAATATCGTTACAAATAAAATAAATTATTGAAATTAAATAATTCTGATTCTCTTTATAAATAAATAAATTTGAGATTTATTAAATAATTTTATTTAATTTCTATTTATTTTATTTGTAATTTATTTTTCGGAATTTTCGGGGAAAAAAAAAAAAATACATTTTCCCATTTTTAGTAACAACATTATTTATCTTATTAATAAAATTTTCACCATATTTGTTTTTTAAATTTTTTATTTTAGCGTAGAAAAAAATCCGGAAACTAAAAAAATAGAAATAAAAAGCATTTGTTTAAAAGTAACAATAATGGGAAAAAATAAAAAATCAATATTTCCAATCGATGGTGATCACATTCAAAATTTTCTTTACGTGATTATCGATCCTAAAAAAGGCAGATTACATTATTTCTACATGAATATGGAGGACAATTTTAATTATATAATTATAAATGATTTTCAACATAGACATAATAGATTAATAATGTAAAGGTAACTTTCAACTTATTTAACTTTAATTAAAATTAACGTAATAAATAAATAAATAAAATTTATATATATGCTCATTAAATTTTGTATAAAAAAAAAAATGAAATTTTTAAATAATTTCCAATAATAAAAAGAATTTTTTATTATTGTAGAAAATTAATTTATCGAATTATAAATAATAATAATAATTATATAAAATAAATAAATAGACTGATTTATCCCAATTTGATTTAATTCAGTGAATTACAAAACAATAAAAATTTTTTTAATTTTCAAAAAAAAACGATTATTTTGTTATTGATTTTTTTTTTTTTGTAAATTTAAAAACAAAAAAAATACATAATAATGTAAAAAAAAATTAGATTTTACGAGAAAGAAAAGAAAATTTTTTTTTAAAAAACAAACGATAAAAATAATAATAAATATTAAAATTAAATAAAAATATGATTGATTGAATTTTTTATGCGTTGTTTTTTTTTCTCAGTTCTCTTTTTTTTTTTTTTTTTATACATAGATTTAGTAAGAAATAAAAAATTTCATTATTAAATACACGTATAAATATATATATATATAATTACACAATTGTTACGAGTCAACACGTGCAAAGTATAAATATTAAAAAATATATAATTTAATAAATAATAATCCGATTTTACATTTAATTTGTAAATTTAAAAATTATATATTTATATATTTACGATAAATTAAAAATTAAAATAAATTTAATGAGCAATAAACTAATAATCAATGAAAGCTTTTCAGAAAAATTTATTTAACGCAGCTTAAAATTACAGCAAATAAATAAGTTATTTTTTGAAAATTAAAAAAAAAAAAAAAAAAAAAAAAAAAAATGATTTTTTTTTCTTTTTTTCTTTTTTTTTTTTTTTTAAATACGAAATCTACTAATTAAAATTATAAAGTTGTTACATATTATTCATGGTATAAAATATATAATTATTTTAGTTGGTATTCATTTTCGTCCTCTTCATCGGATATACCACCATTATAATGAACAGTCGTCATTTCAAAACGTCCAGATTTCGGCGGCGGCGGACTGCAAAGAAACATGTAAATATATATATAAATAAAATAAAAATAAAAATAAATATAGGTAGGTGTTAGAAAAAAAGAAACCTTGTCGAACTTTCTCTGTCGGAAGAACGCTCACGATCGGGAAGGGGACTACCTGGCGGTGATAAAGCGCTCATTAATCTATCTTTTCCTTCATTCCAAAAATGAGACTGAAAATCAAATAGAAAAATTAATTTTTTTAAAAATGTAAAACATAGTTTTTAAAATTACTTAAATTTAATATATAAATATTATAGAAATTACCAATCTTCCTTCTCTTCCAAATAATAAAAGGAAAGCATCAATAAAATCTCTAGATTTTTCTTCCCATTTTTGCAACATGTCGAATTTTCTTTCACCGATATTTTCTATTACTTTTTTCCCTTTATCCTTAAGTTGATCCATTTTATTTTGCAATCTGAATTTCTTTTCCTAAATTAAATTAATTATTATCATATATTATCATATATTTAAGAAATTATTTACAATTTCAATTAGTTGTGAACTGAAGAAAAAGAATGAAAAATTGGCAAAAACTTTAAAAACTCATTTTAAATAATAATAATATTATCCTTAATGATTTTTAAAATTAAATATATATTTAATAAAAAAAAAAAAAAAAAAAAAAACTAACATTTAAAAAAGAAACGTTTAATTCCTTGGCTGAATAACCTCGAGCTAAATTTCTTCTAACGTAAATATCATAATCTCTCACGATTCTTGCAACAATGTCTGACGTAGAAACTCCTTCTGTTCTTTCGGTGGCTACAAACATTCCTTTTTCTTTTAACCAAGCGTAAAGATCGATATTATTTCCAGATATATAGGGAATATCATCGTGAGCCACAAAATCAATCTGCAATTATAAAAAGAAACTAATTGTAAAATATTAGGAAAGAATAATAAAATGAAAAAAAAAAAAAAAAAAATTAATAGATAAAGAAAATATTTCTCTTGAGTGTTGAGTGCACCCGAAATATGAATTGAAATAATTTAAAGTTTAATAAAAACTAATTTTTTTTTATGATTTAAAACGAAAATAAATTTTTAAATTAATAATTACAATATTTTTAAATATTCTAGAAAATTTTTTTTTTATTACACTGAGTCTGTATATGTATTTAAAATTGTTTTTAGTTCAATCTTATTATGATAATTTCAACAAATTAACTTACTTGAAGTTTTAAAAAATATTTTTATAACTCAAATATTAGTTAACCACGATTTTGTTTTTAAACATTTTATAAATTAATTATATGCATTCCTTGAGTGTTACACTGCCCTTGCCTCATTTATTTATTTATTTATTTTTAATTATTTTGATAAGACAATTATTGGTTTCTTAACAGTTACCTACGGTTAAACAAACTCCCAAGTCCTAATATTTAATAATAATCTTAAAAAATTAAAAAAAAAAAATATTCACTTTGTGTCTGCTGAGAAATTCTTCATCTAATTCCCAAGGAGCATCTCTAATGACTTCATCGACATATCTGCAATGTCTGACAGCTTCGTACCTTTCGGCATCTGTCATTACTGTTCGTCCTTTTTTACTGTGTGTAAGAGCGTCACTGCATACTGGGAGGGGGGAAAAAAAAAACAAAAAAATTCAAGTACGATATTTTAACATAGGAAGTAAAATAATAATAATAATAATGAAAATTTTTGGACAAACCTCCTACAATTAGGTAAGCATTATTGAAAACTCCTTTCGCTTGCATGAGCTGCCTTGCATGCCCCTGATGAAATAAATCGTAAATTCCATCTGCATAAACCCTCACCTTACGTGGAGCCTTATTACTTTTTGCCTGATGTAAAGTTATTCTACAATTGTGATAATCTATTCTTTCTCTTTCGAGTATTGCTTCCGGATCATCGCTAAATGGTGCGGGCTTTTTTGCGGACTAAAACAAATAAACAAATTTATTTAAATAATTTTTTGTCGATTTAAAAAAAAAATTTTTTTTTTTCTTATGACTTTCATAAAGAAATCATTGGAAACGAAATTATTTTATTTGGGTGGAAAAAAAAGGCGATAATAAAAAGCGATAATTAACAATATTTTAAAAATAAAAAAAATTATCGATTGTTTTCTAACACGTACAATGTAAAATAGTTATAAAAAAATAAAAAAAAAGATTAATTGCATATTAATCGATAATAATAGCCTATAATGATTATTATAAAACGTTAAGAAAAATTATCAAATTTGAAAATACGGATAATAAAATTTTTTTTTATTTTCATTTAAAATATGGTAATTTTAAATATTGTGATATAAAAAATTAACAAATGTTATTAATATAAATTAATAAAATTATAGTTTGTGTTTGAAGAGAAAATTTAAAGTTTCCAACTTTTATTGTAGTAAAAAAACTACAGAGTCAAATTTTCATTATTAGTAGTAACTCAGAAAATTACAGCGTTTAATACTAAAAATTCAAATATCTTTTCAAGTACATATATATATTATTAGTTTGAATATAATACTTTGAATGTTTATTTATTTTTTTTTTTTTTTAATATTTTTCAAATAATTATTTATTAACACACTGAAAATATGCCAGAGTAATGTCAAAAGGCTACAGATGATAACGATGGATATATTATATAATTTCTTTGAAAAATACATAATACTTTATGTACATGTTGTCCTATTCGATTTATTTTTTATTACCTTTAAATAACTAATTAATAAAAAATAATTTAAATGTGAGAAATTAAGCTTCTTACAGAATTGAAGTATTTTGGAACTGAATTTATATTTTGCCACTTATATATTAACCTATTATATTCTTTTATCTGTTTTTTTTATAAGCTTTAAATTTCCTTGCATTTCATTACAAGTAGTAAAAAAAAAAAAAAAAAAAAACTTGACAGCAATAAGTACAAGTAAATAGAAATTTACAATAATTTTAGGTGAAAGTTTTTAAAATTACTACATTAATTCAATTATTTAATAAATAATTAATTAATTAATATTCTTTTAATGCTTATTAATGAACCACAAATAGTTTTTTCTTTTTTTTAAAAAGTACAAAGTATTTTAAATTAATAGTTTCGAAGAAAAAAAAACTTACTTCCGTGGTCATTTTAATAATGGTAATAATAATAATAATAATGTTAGCTTTTTCAAGCAATAAATAAATGATAACAAAAAAACAACCTATACACTAAAAAAAAATACGCTAAATACTATTTTTAAGTAAACATATCGAAACACACGGTAAAGTCATTATTATTCGTCTGCTCCATTATATAAATAAATACAAATTTCCTATTATTTGAAATGGGCTACAAACTTTAATAATTTTTGACTTGTCAATATTAAAAGAAGGCAAAGGAAATATCACCGTTTTTATGTATGTTGCAGTTTACGTTAAAAAAATAAAATAAAATTAATTTGAATACCTAAGAGAAAGAGTTATAAATAAATCCATCAAATGTTAAAATTTAAGAATAAAGTTTTAGATTTGACGTAGCAGAAGACTCGATAAGCTTGAATACTTAATTGATACTTTGCTACCTAAATACTCGGTTTCCTTTTCCTACTACCCACTTTTTCATATCTCGATTTTTCTTTAACTCTAACCATAAATTCGTAAAAAATGAAAATTTATTTTTTGTTTTGATATCTCTATCACAAAAACTTTTACAGGTAAATTATGATAACAATCAATATAAAAAAAATTAACACACATTAAACGTTAACTTCGTGCAAACTCTAACCATTAATCACAAAAATAAAAACCTGATAAGTTTTTCCGTACACGTTTTTTTTTAATAAAAAAAAAAAAAAAAATAATTATTATTAACGTTATTTTACACGGATTATTAATTATAAACACCTTTGAAAAATTAATTAATTTTATTGTCGACACTTTTTAAAAAAAAAAAAAAAAAAAAAAAAACATTCAACCGTTTTCTGACCTCGCAAAGATTTATTTGCCGTGACTGATCGTCCGGTCAAACTACCCCCTTATCACAATATTACCCGCCCCCCCCCTGGAAATTTTTTATTACAGTTTTTGCTTATCCTGGCTTTGAGTTAGTCTATTACAAAATATTCCTTATATTAAAAAAAAATTTCAATCTAATTATCTTATCATTTTTGATTTTCAATTAAGCTCTACTTAAACACAAATCTGCACTTTTTTAAAAAGACTTCATCCTCCATAGATATCCGTTGACAAATATGTAAAATGAAATTTTCTAATCAACCCGAAAACCCAAATTTTATGCCCAAAGCGGAATAACAAACATAAATGAGTAATAAAAAAAAAAAAAAAAAGACAACCCTAGTTTATAAAAAAAATGTATCAAACAGTAAAATTCTAAAAGTATTTTAAATAACAGCAAATTATTTTCAATATTAAAATTATTTACAGAGATAATTTTAGTTTTTGTTATTATTAAAACTTTAAATTTAAAATAGTTTAAAAAATATTTTTGGCTTTGAAAAAAAAAAAAAAAAGAACTTATTAAGTAATTTTCTATTTAAATAAAAATATATTTTTTTGCCATTTATAAAAATATAAGGGTCAATTTAAAAAAATTTTTGATGATTTAATTAAATTGGGAATTGGAATTTGGCAACCGTCATTTAAAAAAAAAAATAATTTTACCGTTATTTTATTGTTTTCCTTATTTGAGAAGGGCGTTTTCCGGTTTTTTACTAAGTATTATTGCATCGGTTTAGAGCTTTAATAGTTTAAACTTCCTTTATTAGAATTTAAAAAAATTTAACCTTAAAAATAATTATTTTTGCAATGAAAAATTATTCTTTTTCTAAAAACTGTTTTTTAATTGCCTCTTGTCATTTAAATAATTACTCATTTTAAATTTTATACAATTGACCCTTGCAGATAAAATTTTAGATTTTTTAAAATTGATAATTAAAGCAAAAAAAAATTTTATATCATTTTTAGAATTTTACTGACACTGTCTAACACCACAACACATACTTTTCGAGTCTATCTACTTAACTACATTTTTTTTAGTGTTGTTTATAAATATTCTTTATCAGTATGCACACAACATATTGATATATATATGCCACCACAGAGCAATATTGAATAATTATACCTTACAATAAAATATAAATATTTTTAATATTTTAATAAGTTTTTAGTCCTAACCTTGCTAAATGTACAGTAAATGAGCATAATGTAAAAAATTTCCTTCGAGAACAACACAGACCTAATTTATAAGGATTAATTAATTAACTTTTCAATAACTAACAATCAATTACAATTCCTTCCTAATTATCATTGAAAATTTTTTTCATTATTTCACATT